AGAAGGTCTCGGGTTGGGGCAGTCAGGGGACAGGTAGGGGGTAGGGTCCTAGGGGGCCAGTTAGGATGGGGAGAAGGTCTCGGGTTGGGGCAGTCAGGGGACAGGTAGGGGGTAGGGTCCTAGGGGGCCAGTTAGGATGGGGAGAAGGTCTCAGGAGGGGGCAGTCAGGGGACAAGGAGTGGGGGGGGTTGGGCGTTCTGAGGGGATGGGAAGTGGGAGGGAGTGGAAGGGGTAGGGGCGGGTCTAGGGCAGGACAGGGGCGGGGCTAGGGCGGGGCTCCTCCCGTCCTCTTTTTTGATTGTTGAAATATGGTAACCCTACTTATGAATGTCTGGTTACATGATCCGTTTTGCTCCTGACAGAAAAAAGAAACAAAACAAAATATAACAAAAGTGATGTTGATGAAGAACAAGTTGACATCTCTTCACCTTCTGGTGCCTTAAGTGCATTAAAAATCGCTTTGCAGTGGTTTGAAGGACAAGAAGAAAGTGATGATGCAGTGCACCATACTGCAACTGATGTATCATACCTGCTGTAATTCTGAGATGTTCAATCTTCAGACCTTTGATTTTAGGAGCGCCTCAATCCCCTATTAGTTCATAAAATAGGGATTCTTCTGTAAGCAGGAGTCCAAGATCTCCTACTATTTTCCCTAGAGTATATATATCTCCAGTGTTCTGAATATCATTCTAGCTCAAATAGGTTCTAGTGCCGGAGCCTGTTCCTAGTGAAACTAATGGCAAAACTCTTCCCCTTTCAGTGGGAAAGGGAAGAATGTCAAATCTTCAAGAATAACTGCTAATTGGTATGTCTTCTGTATTTAGCTGAAAAGCCAGTATCGCATTCATTAAGTTGTAAACAATTTTTTGCAATATTGTGATCATGAAAAACATGTATAATCACTTAGGAGTCGTCTTATATTTAGAGATCGGATGAACAGATTGTGTACTGAGGCCTATGTGAAAAACTAAAGGAATGGCTTCAGATTCAGAATTTTTGTTTGCAGTTGACTCTTTTCTAACCTATAATAAAATGGAAAGACCATTATATATATATATATATATATTTTTTTAAAGCATCTTATTTTCACATCTTATTTGTAATCTTAAATTGGAAACAGGTAAAGTCTGAAAAGGCAGCAGCCATGCTTTTGAGGGGAATAATACTATTCTTAAACACAGGGAGGGAAATCATCATGTGTGGTTATCATTTTTTCCATTCTAATTATACATCTGCCACAGTCTTTTTACGTGGGCTACCCCTAAGTCTCTTACAGTGGTTAGAGAAAAACAATTCAGGCTTTCTCCATTGTTCATCGTGACAGGCCTTTCAGTATGACTGTCCTGGACCTTTTGTACCAGCCACAATAGACTTTTTCTATTGGTTTGATTGACTCTTAAAATCGCTCTCAAACATTACTTGTCTAGAAAGGGAGGAGGATTTATCTAGTCTGTAACAATGAAAATAACCTGGAAGCCAGTAATGTGAGCCAGAAGACACAATGATTATCTTTAGAATAAAATGCAGTGGAGTACTCTGATATTCAACGGAGTGGCCATAAACCTTTAAAGAAAACTCTACAATGTTAAGATTTTATTCCTATATTTTGCTAATTTAAGTTTGATGGAAGTGTTCCAATCACCTCTAATTTTTGTGATGTTATTTAACACTTCATCAGGCCAATTTTCTTAGTTTTCTGTTTTCTTAGTCCATTACAATTGAATGGATGTGGGATAGGATGATCTCTCTGCACTCTTCTTTCAGCTGTAAAAAGAACAGATAGAAAGAAAGAAAGAAAGAAACTTCAGTGTTCAAGTCTGTCAGGAAATTCCAAACTCTCAAACATGTACCGGTCTACAACTATAATACAAGTTCTGTCACGCATTAGTTAAACAGGGTAGATGCATATTCTCTCACATAGCCTTGCCTATATAGTGTCTCTGTACCTGGACCTGCAGTACATTAATTGCAGTACAATAATTTGATCAAATCAAATCATGTGATGAATTTGAGATGTGGATAGCTTGTACAATTCTTCTATTCATTTGAATGGAAGTTAGCATCCTAAGAAAATCTTATTTCACATCAAATATTACATGACAGGCCTGTCAGAGCAGTGTTAGGTCATGTAAGGTGCTTCGCACGCATTGAGTTCAAGACCTGAATAAGTGCACTTTACAATAGATGTACAAGGAATATCATTTAAGGCCCAAACTAAAAAAGGTGGCTTATTTCAGTTGATGTCTCCCAAGATAATTGAAAAGGTTGGCTTCAGCCATCATCTAGTGGGAGAGGATACAATTTGGCATGCCTCTACTCTCCAGTCTTGTTCCTCTTTCCACAGTGTTATATATTACACCTCTCAGGGAATCAGCACTCCGTTGACAATGATTCTAAGTAATCTTATTATCGGAGAGCAGAAGCAGATGTTTCTCTGGGAAGCAGATGTCTCCCTGCTTTTCAGAAGTGCTTTGGAAATCTAAATACTTTGTGTTTAGTGCTTAGATACTATGGGCCTAATTCTCCACTGCCTTTCACCTGGGGTTGTAATTAACATAAATGGAAAGTAAGTACAGTAAAATTCTACCAAATCAAAACAGCAGCATTTTGCCTCAGCTTTGCACTGCTGTATACAACTACAGAAGTCAGACCTATAATACTGACTAGTAAGGAAGGGTTTCTATTATTTTTAAAAATACAAAGATTTGTAATGCTGCTCTTATTGAAATGAATGACAACCCTGAACTATGCATAATGAAATGAAAAGCCGCAAATATATGTGTGACGGGTTCGGTCACAGAGACCCTCTTGGGACTGCCACCTGATGTCCTGAGACTACCTCTGAGCCCATTTTCTCTGCCAGTTTGGGCCTCCAGAACTCTGCCTTGTTGAGCCAGACATGCCAGTCTGCTCCAACACAGACCCCGGATCTGAACCACATGCCCCAAAGCTGCAGACTTAACTGAAAACAGTTTAAGAAGTGTTCCTGTCTCCAGCACCCAGATACCCAGTTCCCAGTGGGGTCCAAACCCCAGATAAATCCATTTTACTCTGTATAAAGCTTATAAAGTTATAAATTGTCCACCCTCTATAACACTGATAGAGAGAATGCACAGCTGTTTGCTCCCCCAGGTATTAATTGCTTACTCTGGGTTAATTTATAAACAAAAGTGATTTTATTAAATATAACAAGTAGGATTTAAGTGGTTCCAAGTAATAACAGACAAAGTAAGTTAACAAGCAAAATAAAACAAAAACATGCAAGTCTAAGCCTAATACAGTAGAATACTGAATACAGGTAAATCTCACTCTCAGAGATGTTTCAATAAGCTGCTTTCACAGACTAGACTCCTTTCTAGTCTGGGCCCAATCTTTTCCCCTGATACAGTCCTTGTTCCAGCTCAGGTGGTAGCTAGGGGATTTCTCATGACTGCAGCTCTCTTTGTTCTGTTCCACCCCCTTTAATAGCTTTGGCACAAGGGGGGACTCCTTTGTTTCTTGCTGGGTCCCCACCCCTTCTTCTAAATGGAAAAGCAACAGGTTTAAGATGGATTCCAGTACCAGGTGACATGGTCATATGTCCTGTGAGACCCCAAGCCTTCATTCTTCCTGGCTTGACTCTCAGGAAGGCTTGCAAGTAAACAGAGCCATTTACAACAAATTGTCCTAGTTGATGGGAGCCATCAAGATTCCAAACCACCATTAATGGCCCATACTTTGCATAATTACAATAGGACCTCAGAGTTATATTTCATATTTCTAGTTTCAAATACAAGAATGATACATTTATACAAATAGAATGACCACCCTCAGTAGATTATAAGATTTGTAATGATACCTTACAAGAGACCTTTTCATGAAGCATATTCCAGTTACATTATATTCACACTCATTAGCATATTTTCATAAAATCATATGGAGTGCAATGTCACAATATGCACAGTAGATAGCTTTTAGAATTTAATCTCAGCTATTCCAAATATTGAAAATTTAGTCTTATAGCCTAACTGGCTACCACATTTCATTTTATTTTTAGATACAGCAATTTTTCCTCACAGACTATTAAAAAAAAACACACTTGAACCTACTTACAAGCATCACCATCTTAAAGATATAATCAACATTCCTTTATGTAGATGAACACTTTATTAAGTGACAGATTAATTCATGCTGCATTTATTTGCACATTTCTGTGTAGATAATGAAAATCGATGAAGTCAGTTTCACTTTTGTTTGAAGTTTACTTGCTTATGTGTTATTAAATGCTACCATAATTGAGTTTCAAATATTGCAGGGAATATTTACATTTTAAAACAACTGATTTCCTTGAAATTTTATTTCTAAAAATGTTACAGCATTTCTGTTGTTAAAAATGTAAAATTTGGACTAAGTTAATAATAGTGTCCCTTTACATACTTCTGAAGTTCCACTACTGAAGATATATTAACTTCTAAGTTTTTGAATGATAACATATAATAGGTTTCAATATGACCCATATTGCACTAGGGATTGGTGTATTCTACTCATAACAGGGCAGTAAGTAGTGTTGTAGCTGTGTTGGTCCCAGGATATTAGAGAGACAACACGGATGAGGATTATTTATTGGACCAATTTCTCTTGGTGAAAGAGAGAAAAGCTTTCAAACTACACAGAGTTCTTCATGTCTGTAAGCAGTAAGCAGACAGTTAACTAACCCAGTGAGAGGAACAATGAATAAAATCAGGACTATTTATACTCTGTTCTTATTTATTTCACTTTGTGGATGTACATTTTAACACTGATAGCACTTTTGAGAAAGCTGCAAAAAGATAAAACGGACCATTTTAGAATAGGTGCATCTTCTTCCCTCTACTAGATATATTCAATGGCTAATGCAGACTAAGTTCTACTCATTCTTTTTGATTCTTTCTGACTGTTTTGCAATACTGATTAAATGTGCTAACTATTGATGACATTTTCACAGCAGGGCATCAGAACAAATGCTAAAATAATTCTAATCAATTACAGTGATAAAATTTACGTGTGTTCTATTGTGGATTACATTGCCATTTGCTCTCAACACCTCTGAAACACTCATAGGCAAGTGTTCTCACCCCATGGGCAGTATTTAATCTCTGTAACAACATTTGGGATGGAAGGTTTGTCAATTTAAGAAAAAAATGTAATTAAAAAGAAATTAGTAGTAAGTGCCAGATCTAAAAAAGTTGAATTACTGTACTTCCTTGGTTTTTTGGTAAGTTATTTGTGATTATCTATAGTTTTGTAGAGTGCTGGTTTATTAGGAAACAATATAACATTAAGGCAGCAAGTTCCATGGTCAAGATTAAAGAAATCCTAACATTAGGCTCATAATACCATATTAAAGCCTCAGTCCTACAAGTAGTTATGGTAAAAGCAAATATGCAAGGATTAAAAACATCAAGTGAAATTTAGCAGGAAAGCATGCAAATTGGCATGAGGTCTAAAATAAAAATATACATAAAAATAGCAACAATAACCTATTAAAAACACATTAGAAATATAAGCTGTGTTCCTAGAATGGAATCTTTTAGCATGCAGATACCTTTGCATACCTGTTGAGTTGAATTGACTTTAATGGGACTATCCAGAGTTCATATAATCCAGGCCAGGGCCAGAGAAAAATAGATAAAGTTTAGAAATCATTTTAAAAATAATAAAGGCTAAAGGTTAAAAATTAAGGCCCTGATCATGGAAGTACTTCTGCATGTGAGTTTATGTAGGTGAATAGACTAGATCACTTGGTCTAGAAACGGTTCTCATTATTTTTATTTCTGTTTTTAATCCACCATCTCCCGTCACTGTCAATGAAACAGGAGACACAGGCTCAAGTTGGTGGGACTGGAGTTTCCAGCATTACGATGATAGTTGTCACTTTATAACCCACCTCATGTCTCCTGGAAGCAATGTAGCACTCTCATTCCACACAAAAAGGAAGAGATAAAAGATCAGGACAAAAGGTATGATCTATGAAGGTAGTTAGGCACCTAAGACCTATCTTAGTGCCACTGTGATCCACAAAACTCCTGCTTGGCTGCTGACCACCCCTGTAGGCGCCTAAATTCATTCAGCACCTAGGTTTTTGCCTCTGGTCATGTGAACCACAGCCTCACTCTCAGCACCCAGCTGTTTATCTCCTGCCTAAGCATGGGCATTGCTGTCTCAGTCCCAGAGCAATTCATAAACTGGGTAAGATAGGTGTTTGGCCATCTAAGTCACTAGGGTTTCCAGGCATCTGGTTTTTGACTGGAACGCCTGGTCGAAAAGAAACTCTGGCGGCTCTAGTCGGCACTGCCGATTGGGCTGTTAAAAGTCTGGTCGGTGGCACAGCAGGGACCCAGGGCTAAGGCAGGCTCCTTGCCTATCCTAGCTCCACGTGGCTCTCGGAAGTGACCGCCAGGTCCCTGTGGCCCCTAGGCACATGGGCGGCCACGGAGGCTCCACGCACTGCCCCCACCCGAGTGCCGGCTCCACAGCTCCCATTGGCTGGGAACCATGGCCAATGGGAGCTGCAGGGGCAGCACTTGGGGGCGTGAGGACAGCATGCGGAGCCTCCCTGGCCGCCCATGCGCTTAGGGGCTGCAGGGACCTGGCAGCCACTTCCTGGAAGCTGTGGTAAGCGCCATCCAGACCTGGCACCCCCTCTCGCACCTCAACCCCCTGCCCCATCCAAACTCCCTCCCGGAGCCCGCATGCCCCCCTATAGAGATGTCTACACTACAATGTTCCTGCTGCCGTTTTAACTG